TTTCTATTTATTGTTACATGGACTTGAGGAACAATTCATCACACTACATGCATCAGAAAAAACAGAACAAATTGTAAATCCAAATCTATGAATCAATGCATATTTTCCTAAAGATTTGAGCAATTATGAATGGAATATATGTATATGTACGTATGTGTATATAGAAATATATTTTTTGCATTATACAGCTGGGGGATTTTGCAAGTATCATTTGATATTATTATTATTTTTTTCCCTCCCAAGCGGTTTTTAAGATTTTAAATGTAGCCAGACTCGAGACAGTGTCTTCCCATGGTTTGGTATAACAAGTAGACTGTAACAGGTGTCAGGGCTGGCATTGTCACACTTTATAGGCGCTGTTCTTTTCATTTTCTCAAAGCTTTACGCAGGGCAGGGAAATTACTATGCCAGCCACCAACCACACGCTGGTTAAGATTTGACCGTTGGTTGGTTTACAGTATCCGGCGGTCGAGTCGAGGTAAGTTCCCCGCCCTGCTTTACACACAGATCTAATAACAATAACTGCTTTTCCGGAAGCATTTGGAGAAACCACGGGGTGATAACTGCATCAAGAAGCCATATTTCTTTCTCTCATTTGTTCGTACTTACAAATGAAGAATTCTGTGTGTTAACCCAACCTAATTTATTGTTGTTTTATTTATTGTATTTATTATATCTAGGTACAGACATGCCACATTGACTTCAAAATCAACCATGAGGCCTGATGAAATTGTATTTATCCAAATTTCGCCCTCCGTTTTGAATGCAGTACCTATTTATTCCTCACATTTTTTTATTATTATTAGTAATAATAACCGGGTTACTATTCAAATCACTATGCAGCTCTGTCATACGTGTTTCAAAATGATTGTATACGACTCAAATGTCCTTTAATTCCTTTTATGCAAACAGTTGCCTTTCTCCTAAAGATGTGGAAAAATCAAATGCATTTTTCAAAATTGTTCCTTATCATCGTGATGAAGAGATTAACTCAGGCAAAAACAAAATGTATTGACAAAAATACAGTATTACGACACGCTTAATACCTTACCACAACACTCCTGAAGGATGTCACTCTGGTCTGAATGGGAGCTAGAACTTCAAAGACTAATTACCGTTGTAAAATGTATGCATTTTTTTATATTAAGGAAAAAACATTGTAGCATCTTTGTAAATATTTTTTATAATAAAAGGTGCAACTATTGATTGTGTGGTGTCTGTTGGATCACTTGTTGCAGATGGTTTTCTCTTTTCTTTTCACAGACCTGATTGACCTTTTGAATGTGTTTGAACTTACAGCTGCTAATACACGTTACCGACAATACTCATAAAAAGACCGAAACCAACGATGTTCCGGTTTCTTTATCCTGCCTGTGTCGCTCAGTCTACTCATTTCTACTGAAAACGCATCACAAATCTATACGGAGTCTTCTTTACAGGTTTACTTCCTGTAGCAGCTGGGCACTAGTTTTTAGTAAATGTTACTTAAACAGGAGTGAATAGTGGATTTGTGTGTTTGTGGAGCTTCTTTCTCTTTGAATCCACGGAGTGAAGTCATTGTTGAGTTTACTTTCAAGGGAATTTGTCGACATTAAGAAAACTATATAATATCCCCAGCCTTAACCTTTAATCTAGTTTCTAGTGGAGACGAGGAATCGATATCTGACCGAGGGGCCATCTGTAACTGTCATTAAACAGGCCAAACATACCTGCATTAGTACACAATAATTTCAATCAGAATATATCTAAACAAACACGGAGTAATGAGCATTCGAGCTAGAGCACAGAACAATCTGTCCTCAGGTTTTCACCTGGGAGCTTCCTGCTGCCTTGCTCAAGCGCTCTGCTACGCTGACTGCTGAGCGTTTGTGTTTGTTGCAGACAGATTCTCATTTGTAATTTAAAAAAAACTAAAATGCAGAGAGTGAATCAGATGTGACTCGGCTGCAGTTTGGCTGCAGTGGGACCTTTGTCCTCACGTGCTCTCACATGATGTTGGACCGTGAGATCCCGCATTAGATATGCACAGAGAGTTCACAATGGATTCAACAGAACAGGACTACTGTCTGTTTGCAGACCCAGAACATGGCGTACAGCTAACCTGTTCACAGTGGAATTAGGGCTTTTCTACTAATAATGAAAGCTGCTGTAATTTAGTCAGCTGGAAAAGAGACCAAACATGTAGCACTTAAAATAGAAATCTCAGCGTTTTTTGTCTGAAATTGTCAAAAAGGTATTTGTTCATAAAATCATAGCTCGCTCTGCATGTTGGCCTGCCGCCTAGTCTCAGTTTGCCTATAGTTAAAGATTAATGGCCTCTCGGTGACTCAGCAAAAACGCAGCCTGAGGAAAAACCAAGCCGGCAGAGAAAGAGACTATTGTGTCTGAAAGAGGAGAAACGGTAAAAAAGCAGTAAATGTGATGCAGAAAATCCACGCAGGGTTTCAGAGATGCAGGAGAAATCGAGAGTTTACACTGCGGGAGGTTTAATAAGACACGTTTATTCACTTCTAACACGTCTGTTAAACAACTCCTCCAGCCTTCAGTGGCATATATAACATACTGCACTTATAATGCGTGTGTTATCTGCTGTCAGAGGACTGCACTGACTTTAAAAAAAAAAAAAAAAACGTGAGTGGGTTAATAAGTGCTAACAGGCCACAGGTCTCGTGCTGCCTTCAGGTGCTTCTCATAAGCTTGAGACATGTATCTGTGAGACTTCTGAGACAAAACATGTTGGTTGGATATGACAACATTGACCCAATAGCTGGTTACATTTGGTGTTTAACTAACAGAGATTAAATAAAACATAAAAACAACCAAAACTGTATTTTATTTTAAAACAAACTCTTAATTAACTGACCTCTGCTTGCATAAAGGTTGTAATTTACTTACTAGAGCTTGTAGTTTTTATGTATTCTGGATCTTTTAGCACTGATGTGAAACTTAAAGAGCTCACAGGCACATAAGCAGTTTGGTTTTTAAGGTGGATTTTTTTAAAAGAAACATGCAATTGTCACAAAAACAAACAATAAATGCAATAATTCAGTAATGTTGAATATTTACTTTCTGTTCAGAAGAGGAAGACGAGGAAAAGGAGAAGTAGAAGTGTAGCTGTGACAGCTTGAGGAGGAAGAGACTGGAAAAAACGTGAATGAAGAGTTTCCTTATTTGGTGTTTGCCTTCGCCGTCTTTCCGGTCACGTTCTCCCCCCTTCCCTTCTGAGTCATCTGTCCCTTTAAAATGAGGCGTTCAAGTGCTCACTGCTACTTCTTCCAGGCCTTCTAGATATTTCTAGCACACATTTGTTAGATTATGCTTCAAATACATAAAATAGCTCTGAAATTCATTGGTACTTTTAATTACATTTGATACAACTTTTATTATTTTTTTTATAGGGTTTATAAGTAAACGTAGCAAACTGTCAATAAACCACAACACTGGTCCTTTAAGTATGAGTATTTATGAATAGAAAGTATTGCCTTCTAGCATATTTTTCCTCTATAAATCAGCTTTTCTGGTTTTAAATAGGCACATTAACAGTGTTTTGAAGACTTTTCTATCCTGCAAACACAAATTTTACTGCATAATGAAGTAGTTTTGACAGAATCTGAAGACTTATTCCTCCACTGCCAACCATTGTGGTTCCTGTGGTTATGCAGGTGTTGTAGCCACCTGTGTATGAAGTAGTCACTTTCAGTTTTAGTGTCTGTGTGTATTCATCACTACATCACTGTACTTTATATCTTGTTGGGCGATATAGATCCCTGTCATAATAAATAACCACTGTCACCTTTCACACTCGTGAAGTGCTCCGATGTTGTTTCTGATTTTATAATTTCCGTCATTTTTCAAGCAAAAATGTGAAACATTTTCTGGTTCGAGCTTCTTACATTTGAGGATTTTCTGCTTTTTTTTGTCAGTTATGATAGTAAATGAAGTGTCTTTGGGTTTTGGATGGTTGGTTGGACAGAATAAGAGATTTGACCTTGGGATCTGGGAGATTGTGATGATTTTACATGACTTTTTTGGACAAAATGGATCCCTGTCATAATAGAAATGGTCTCAACGCTCACGACAAGCAAAGAAGTGAAACATTTTCTGGTTGCAACTTCTTAAATCTGAGGATTTCTGGACTGTTGGTTGGACAGAAGCGATTTGAAGACGTCACTTTGGGCTCTTGTGATGAGCATTTTTCACAATTTTCTGACTTTTTATGCTAAACAATCGATTAATTGTGAAAATAATCGTCAGATGAAAATAATGGTTATGTGGCCTTAGGTCAGTCTGTGTTAGGGAGTTTATAACACTGCAGTCAGTTTTAGTGTCTATGTGTATTTATCACTTCTGATCGAGATTTTCAGTCATACTTTAATATTTAGGCAAAATGGATCCCTGTCATAATAAAAATGTTCCCAATCATATCGACTAGGTTCAATGTTCACGTCAAGCAAAAAGGTGAAACCTTTTGTGGTTGCAACTTCTTCAATCTGAGGATTTTTGACTGTTGGTTGGCTTAAAGGAATTGCGATGAACATTTTTCACAATTTTCTGACTTTTTAATGCTAAACAATTAATCGATTCATTGTAAAAATACCCGTGGTGTTAATCGATCATGTAAAGGTTAGTTGCAGCTTTGGGTCAGTCTGTATTAGAGAGTAACACTGCAGTCAGTTTGAGTGTCTATGTCTAGTTACCACTACTGATCAACATATTTAGTCATACTTTATTTTCTGGGTGAAATAGATCCGTTATAACACACATTTTCCACCGATCATATCGACTAGTTTTTCGCCTCTCACGTGTGCTCCGATGCGTGTGTCTGATTTTTCCGCGCCGTCCCTGAACGCAGCGGCCGCACATTCGCTGCCCCGTGAGTGGCGGAGGCGGAGGCTTGATCAGCGGGCGAACGGACCAATCACAGCCGCCGATGAGCTCCTGCGCTCCGGCTCTTCTCCCCCCCTACTAACCCCCGCCCTCCTCCTCGGTCCTCCGCGGCTCGGCCTCCTCCCCCCGCTGGATGGACCGAACATTCCTCATATTCCTGCGGCTCGACAGCAGCGGAACGCGGCGACGACACGAAACGAAGCGACGACACGACGGATCCACACACCTCATGACACTTTCGAAGAACACGTAAGGTTTGTTTTTTTTTTTTTATTATGTCTTTTTAAAAACATTTATTCAGTTTAAAAACGTCCTCAAGTTTCGGCTTTTTTTTTTTTAAGTTAAAACGGAGCTGGTGTTTCCCAGCTGAAGTCCGGGGACCGTGAAGGGGGTTTGTGGGGGTTCTTGGGCAGAAGAAGTAGGATGGAGGGACATTATTCTCTTATTTTACTACTATAAAGACAGGAAACTGTGGGAATAAGTGCTTTAATGGTATACATTTGACTTTATTCGATTGTTCTTCTCTGTATTAAATCGTTAAAAAGCAGCTTTTAGTCTCCTCAGATGGGGGTCGAACTCTCTTCAGATGGGGGGGTTCATGTGTTTGCCCATCTGCTGTTCAGGGGAAACATTTGAGAGAGACAGAGATCTCTAACGAACTAACCCATGTCTGAATGGATGAGTAAAGTGTTTCAGCCTGCAGGGGTGTCTCTCAGTGAGTCATAGAGAGTCATAATGTTCACTTTATGGAGAATAAAAACTCAAACCTCCACCTTGTGAACTTCAACAGCCTGTTTCTGATGTCAGGAGATCAATTATTTCTGGATCAATTGACAGTGAAGGGGGGAAAGTAGCCATGTTTGCTGGGTTGGTGCTGTTACATAAACTGGATGTGAGGGTTTATTACTTGACATTGCAGCCCGGTGTGATCCTGAATGTGTCTCACTGATCCCAAAATTAACCTCAGCTACTGTTTTCTGTTTTCTCTTTTCTGCCAGTGGAAGGTTCAATCAATCAATCAATCAATCAATCAATGTACAAAAATGAAGTGTTAATGTTAAAATCCTACATATACACATCATATATAGTCCTAATTTTAACTGCCTGCACACATACACAGTCAGTTAACACATAATAATACATACAAAATAAATGCACACACACACACACACACACACACCAAGCACACACACACACACACACACGCACACACAGATTAATCCATAATGATAATAATAGTTAGCTTTAGTGTCTCTTACTTCAGGTCTTTTCTGTCATTTTATTATGTCTGTTTGAGTTAAAGGCAGTAAAATATTGATTAGTCGATTGAAAGAAAATGAGCTGCCGACTATTTTAATAATCGATTAATAATTTCAGTATTTTTTTTAAAGCAAAAATATGTTTTTCTGGTTCAAACTTCTTCAATTTGACGTTTGTTCCTGCTTTTCTTTGTAATTTATGATAGTAAATTGAGTATCTTTGGGGTTTGGACTGTTGGTTGGACAGAATAAGCTGTTTGAAGATGTCACTTTGGGCATTTTTCTTAATTTTCTGACATAATAATCAATTAAAATGAAATTTATCAGTCTGTCTTAAAGAGTTGATAATGCTGCACATTGCTGCACGATGGCTGCCCACTGCTCCTAGTAATGAGATGCAATAAAGCAATAAATACAATAAAGGGTCACTTAACTTGAACTACAATTTACCAAACTGATAAATTTGCTGTTTTGCATAAAACCACTGAACCACTGGGATGTGATGTAACTAACATTAGCTGCAGTCTTTTAAATGCGTCGTACATCGAGTGTAACTGGCCGTCTGTCTGTTAATGTAGGTCGATGTTGGGTCGCGGTGTGAAACGGAAGTGGAGCTGCTTGGAGGAGCTGGAGGCAGAGATGGTCCCCGCTGCTGCAGAGAAGGAGAAGAATGGGGAGGAAGACAAGGAGAACGAGGACGGGTTCCTCGTGGGTCCGTCCAAATCCGACATGACCCACCTGCAGCAGCGTCAGCTGGTGCTCGGCCTCTGCTTGGAGAAGCTCCAGCACTACCAGGCCGGGGTGGAGCTCAGCCTGCGTCGCTCCGTGTTGCTCATCAACACGCTGAAGCAGATCCAGGAGGACATGCAGAGTGACGGGGTGGAAACCTGCCCACCGGAGGTACTCCTCAACGGCGTCCACACTGACTCCTGCCTTCTCAGGGACGACTTCAGGGAGGACATGCCGGTTACATGCCCCGGGTGTGCAGAGGACGATGAGGACAACCTTTCTCCGCCATTGTCCCCAGAGTTCCCCTCTCAGGAGGCAAACAGCTCACCCGAGCAGCAGAAATCCCTTCCTGCTGCGACGGTGAACGCTTTTAGTGATGCAGTAAACGCCATGGGCTACCTCAGCGACCTCGCCCTGGACGACATCTTCGAGGACATTGACACATCGATGTACGAGACTTCAGATCTGCCTTCCGCCTGGTCGGCGGGCTCCCTGTGGCCCGTAAGCGTCTCGCTTTGGGCGGACGAGGACGTTAAAATGCGCTCGTCCAACCACGCCTCAGCTGGGAGTCTCCAGTCGTGTTTGACGGACCTGAACGAGCTGGACCACATCATGGAGATTCTGGTAAAGTCTTGATCGCCAAGACGAACTCTTGAACATTTACTGCACTTGGTTAATCGAGAATTTGGAGCCTGATCACGGCTGCAGGGACGGAGGACAGTGTGGTCGGGGGAACAAGGACTGACGTTGGGTTTTTAAGGCTCCATCTGATATGTTTTAAGCTTCAGCTAGTTTCAGGTAGAATAAACACTAATTCTTGTGCACGTAACTCAGTTGTTAGGAGCCACCCAACATCCTGAGTTATGTACACGAGCTTGTGCCTCAAATTAGACATGAAATATTTATTAAAGCGGATTAAGAATCCAGTTCATGAGATTAAGAAACCTAAATGAAACCTCCACTCTTAAACACTTTTATACTGTTTTTTTTTTGGTTGTTATAACTGGCCGAGCACACTTTAAGTGGTGTGAATGGAGTCCCAGTAGAATTACATTTTATCTATTAAAATTGACTCCTGCCATTCAACAAAAGAGACCAATTTGTGCAGCGACAGCAGCAGGAAACAGATCTGCAGTTTGAGTAGTGGGTGAATAGTAAAAGTCAGACAAGGCATGCATAGACAGAGTCGGTATGTGTTGTAACAGACAGGATTAGATAGCACATATTGATGCTTTATAGCAGTGTAAGAGTGTCTAAGGTGGGTATTGCTTAATTTGGTGAACCTGTAAATGCAGATGGAACCTTAAATATCCAGTGTCACAGTGTTTGTGCCACTTTTCTCTCCTGTTTTAGTAAAAGGAGTGAATCCACTGCACCTGAGCTGCCGTTTGTTTGTGCATCACTCAGGCTGTTGGATCAGACCTGGGTTGATTATTAATTGAACTCCCTTCAATTACTTAAGAGGGCGTGCTTCAGTCAGCCAGGAGGGCAAAGGCCCGGGTTTCCTTTTTCAGTCTGTGAGACTGACTGGTTTTTAATGGGTCCACGTGGGATATTTAAACTAGAAACTAAAAGCAGCCAAAAGTCAGAAGGTGGACAGTCTGTATATTTATTTGGCTTGTGAAAATAAGAACGTGGCCACTGAATTTGGGGATTTACCAGCCAAAGAAGTAAGCTTCCAGTCCCCGGAGATTGAATGCGACATTCGCAACGCATCGCAAGAAGCTGGAAGGAATGGATGAGATCTTGTTTCCCCCGGTAGAGAAAGGGTAAAGTTGTTGTTGGATCGCCTTTAATCTAATATTATTCTTATTTATGAATGAAAAATCAACCACAAACTGCAGCAGATATTATTTGTTCTTTGTATGTAAAGTATTTTGTTTGGGTGTGAGTGTAACTTATAATTTAGATCCATTACGACCTTTATGACTGTCGGTGTGTTGGCTGCCATGTCTACTGCTTCTTCTGACACAAATATCAGAGCCTGTATAAGAAATCTACTACACCACGAGGTTGATGCAAACCGTTTATCCTTCTCGGCAGCTTGTATTCACGGTAAATGCAAACGCGCAGCATAAAACATGTATTTTAAACAGAAATGTAAAATCCCAGTCTGGTTCTGACTGAGGAGCTGATCGCCTCAAGTCAACAATCAGGGAAACTTTGCCATGTCTCAGAATTGTAAATGATAACAGAAGCCTATGTATTTTTATGGCCATGATGGTATGAATTTTTATTGTAATGTTGGGAGTTTTTTAAAAAAGTGGTTTTATATGTGTTTCTACCTGAAAAAACTCCAATCACCTGTCCAGTAGAAGAGATACAGTGAGTGAAGTACTGCGATGAAGCAGTCGTTCAACCTTCGCTATCTGTGGTTTACTCCTGTTCTACCTCCTGATGTCTGTTTGTTGTTGGTTTACCTGGGACACTCCTGTTTTACACCGTGAGCCATGGACTGTCTGTCACTGACACAAATCATTTTGTGTTGTTTATTTCATTGTTTTTAACTCGGCTGAAAATCCACTCCAATGGACTCCAGTGCTTTTCCTGTCAGACCAAAGTGATCCGTCCACATCTCCATCTCTCGTCTCTCGTCGACAACGTGCCTTACTACTGAACCGAATTTTTTTGTGGTTGTCTGAGCTCCAGCTTCATTGATAAAAACCTAAGAACTGTGGCGAGGTGTTACACAGAGCACTGAAAGCCAGAACCATCATCGTTTCTCGTTTCTCTCTTTCTCTGCCTTTTTCTGTGCTCTGTGAACAACTAGTGGCTGTATGAGCTTAATGTATCCTGACAGGCTGACAGCGAACTAGCTGAGGGAGGAGGAGGCAGCCAGGGCCAGGAGGGAAAAATAAGAGGAGGAGGAGGAGGACATGGAGGAGGAGGAGGGGTGGGAGGAAGGCGCTTGCGTCACTTGTTCAGTAGGAGGAGTTTAGAGCTTGTTTTGCCCAGACTCAGACCACCGACCAATCGCGTGAGATGTACGAGGAGCAAGATTGATGTATGAGGAGCACACTGCTGCTCCAACAACAACTTGTTTTTGCTCCTAATGGCTCTGCACAGAAATACAGTGTGAATCTGTTGGATTTCAGCCTGTGATATAAATATACTTTTCTGTTTTTCTTTTTTCATTTACATAATCTATCTGACAGGACTGAATACGAGAAGCAGAAAGCTGCGAGTGTTATTTATAATTGTATGAAAGTGTCTGTAAAGCACAAGCTGTATGTTGTTGATGCTGATTATGATATAAAATGTACCTGAAGGATGAGTTTGCTAAGTAATAAGATGATAATTAATAATGTATTGTATTTTTTTGTGAAATATTTTATAGATTTTATTCAATAATACAGTAAAAATACCCTAAATGCTGCACAGTGTGTGAGTCTTTATTCCTTTAACAGGCCTTATTATGTAACATCACACAGATGTGTTTTGTTCGTGTGTTGTTTTTTTAGGTCACAAGACACAAACATTACATTCAGATTATAAAGAACTGATCATGAAACAAACAAATTATTACGTCGTTTCTGCCGACCACTCAAAAAAACGTGCACAGCAACCATGCATACACAATGAGGTATTAGTCAATACATGACAGGCCGCATGTGGTTTATGGTCAGGCTCTGTTCTTTTGCATTCAGTGGGATGATTTTACCCTGAGTTCGGCCTCTCAGGAACACCTTTTGCTCAGACCACCAAAATCCTGCCGTTCTTTACTGCGACTGGTTAACCCAAACGTTTACCCACCCCTAACCTACAGACTGTAAATGGTAGAGCTCGTTACAGGCAGCACGCAGCCTGGGAAGCTTCGCTCAGGGTAAAACCTCCATATTGATGTTTTGCAACTCTGGCCTCAAGAGTCAAATGGAAGCTGAGACTGCCCTCTGGTGGCTGTTTGACTGAAAAACAGACGTGTGCTGAGAAAAAACATGACAATGCAAATCCAAAGAGTATGTTCTTGTGTAGATGCTGTAGTCGGCTGTTTTTGCAGCTTCATCATGAACCTGATCCTCGAAGAAAACCAGCTCCTGTGCTCCTTAGTAAAAGAGTCAGTGGCTCTTACAGTGGGTGGGGGGGGGGGGATCGTAGGAGTGTCACTTTCCTCCGCTGCAGACACATCTGCAGTACGAAAGATCAATACTCAAATACCTGAACTTACATGAGACACACAGTATTAAACTTATTAAACTCTTGATGTGCTAACATCTAAACAATATCTAGGTGGTCAAAAACCTTACTCTTAATAGTAACGTGTGCTGTCAGACAAATTGGTGTTAAGAGAAAAAGTCTCCAAAAGTAATAATCAAATAAAATTCAATTTCCTGACACTCAGACTACACGACTGTAATAAGTGTCCAGTTACCTCCGACCTCTGTCAGTTCTGCTGCTCCCTGTATGGCTGCCTGGGATGAAAACTACTTAAATGTGGCTCCATGGAGTCTAAACTGTGTGTTTTTTGTGGTTTGTTTATTCATCTTTTAATGTATCTGTTTATTTGTTGTTGTTTTAAATAGGCACTCTACAGATAAACACTGCTGCATAGGAAAAAGAAATAAAGCAGATATAAAGTGTTCAGGACATCTAGCTGTCCCTGGTTGTGCTTCTATCAGGATAAAACAGCCAAACAAACAGATAAAACACCACACGAATGTGACATTAAATGTGTTTTATACTCTCTTTCCTTCTCACTGCAGTGTAAATCTTTGACTGCACTTCATCCGTCTTTCAGTACCATCACTGAGTCTGATTTCCCTCCGGAGGGTAGAAACAGAAGTAGACTCATACAGTAGATGTTGTTGGTGAAAGGGCTCTGCTGCTGGAATTCAGGGAGTGGTCACACATGAGGAGGAGCAACACGTGCACTACTGCACACAACCACTGCTAATGCTACCATTAGACATATCTATCTATCTATCTATCTATCTATCTATCTATCTATCTATCTATCTATCTATCTATCACAGTGCAGCCTAAGGTGTGGTGGATGTATGGATGTCTGCCTGCAGCCCAGCAGAGTGCTGCGGTGTGTCAGTCTGGGTTTAGTGTTTCTCTGCAGGCAGACATCAGTTTACTGCGGTGGAGTAAAGCCGGGCTTTGGCTCCGTCTACCAGGCTGAGTCAGCACACACTCTCAGAACAAACAACCTCTGCTGCTGCAAAACAATGGGATGGACCGACTGGACCGATGGATGCATAGATCCAGCAGCACTTGGTGTCTTCTTCATCCAAAACAAACATGTTTTTAATGTAAAGAAATACATGTTTTATCAGTGTAAATGATGTGTAAGGTGCATTTGAAACTATAGATTTTAACAGCCCGAATGAGGTCACTTCTCTGCTCACAGGAAGTTAAAAATACCTAAATCTGTCCATATCAGAGCTGTTTTACTTGCAGGGATATCCTCCAGTTGGATCAAAAGGATCCTTCTTAAAATCCACAGTCCTCGTTCTGTGCATAAATACTTTTAAAAGTTCATCTGAATTTAATATGAGGCTTCAGTAGTCTGAGTTAGTCACATCAGGTGGATATCTTCCAATATTGTACTCTTTTTTTGCATGAAATTCCCTCTTTGTGCAAAGATTGTGAATAAATCTTTGCACTAAACAAAGAATGCAGATTTTCACTGACATTTAAAGTGCATCAGGAAGAGATCCATTAGGCCAGTATGATGCCAGGAATAATTAAAGCGAGGAGAGAGTGTTCATATGGGCGCCTGAATATTGTTTTTGGGGAGACTTTTAGAAATTGTGAACCTCTCCTTTCAGACTGAAATCCAAGCAAGCTGTGTCCTAAACTGTCCTCATTGTTTGTAACTAATATAGTTAAGTTGGTAAATGGCCATTTGTCAACATACAAAGTAGTCTGAGGAAGCTTTTTTAAATACTTTGGTCGGAAGAGCTGCCAGCTAAAAGCATTTCATTGGTCTGGTTTTACAGTAATAAAGAGTTTGAGCACCACACGGTGGTCTAATAATGCTGCTTCAGGCTTTTTTGTCCTGGTTTATAGGATTTTTAATTCCTTAGAAATATTGAACAATAGCACAGATAAACAGATAAAGATATCACTATCAGTATATAGGCTGTATATAAAACCCACCAGCATTGGCTGCCACTTATTAGTCTAATTATTTTCATTATCAATTCATTTTGCAGATTATTTTCTCAATTATGATGATCAATTAATTGTTTAGTCTATAGAATGTCAATAAATAGTGAATTAGAAGCTGAAACTAGGGATTGTTTGGTATTTTTGCTCGAAAAATTACTTAAAAACAATGAATTTATCATCTTCATAAGACATGGTAATTCATATTTCTGTCAACTCGACTTTTTAGTTAATTGACTGATTATTTCAGCTGCTCTATTTTATGTTGTTCTTTTTATTTTTGTTTATTTCTCCATGTTTGACTTTTCCCTAAAATTGTTGTAAATGTTTTTTATTTATTTTCTTATATTGATTTTATGTATTTGTATAGATTTTAAAATGTTTTATTTATTTATGTATTATTCATTTAGTTATTGAGTGCACCTGTTTGGTAGCTTGTGACTTTATATTTTAAGGTGTAAGAGAAATCAAATGTACCTCCTCACTTATAATGTGGTTTAAACCCTAACACATGAATACATACAGAAATAAAAGGTTTTAAAGGCAGTAGATGAATAAAGAGATCCTTGTAACTAACAAAAATATCAAAAAGCAGTTAAAACATGAAACCTGATTGAGCCCGAGAATGAAACGTGTGTGAAAGAGGAATAAAAAAGGTCTGAAACCTCGTGACTCCCTGAGTAATGTCTCAACTTTGACTTATTTCCTGATGAAGTCAGATATGGGAATGTGTCTGACAAGCTACATGAACCCTGAGGAACAAATTCCTTTTTGTCTGATTATCTGTAAGTGATTTACAAGGTTCCCCCCAGACACCGTGGAGGTCCGAGACGTGACCTGAACACCCGCGTTTGTGTAGAAATGGATTTGAACCGGCATCTTCCAGGCTAATAGGCTCCCATTCATTTTTCACGGGGCAACAAATTATCTGCTGGTATGTTGTTTTTCCTGACCGGACCCACTGACTGACTGTAAGACACAGACAGAGCCCAAGCTGTGGTGATTTGTAGCCAAGGCGTTCTTGGAAAAGTTGCGACCCCAGACCACGTGGACTCGCTAATTAAAAGGGGAAATAAGGGGCAGTTAGAGACCAGGTCATCTCCAAACAGCCGCTGCCAGAACTTTATCTCGCACTGGATCTGACTTGGGACATTTTTAAAACCCTCACACTGGAACACATAAATATGGCAAATTAAGGGAGTAATCACATTTTGGTGAACAAGATTTATAAACAACTATTTTGGCACTGATGACATGACGATGAAATGGTAATTGTATTTTATGCTCAACTTTTTTACAAGTTTACTACATTTATTTGTACCAGTGGTGGAAAATACATGTACCCAAGTACTTTACCAAGTAAGTTTGAAGCACTTGCACTTTACTTGACTGCTACTACACTTCAGAGGGAAATATTGTACTCTTTACTCCGCTTGATTTATGAGCCAGCCATAGTTATTGGTTACTTCAGTAAGATTTTACAAACAAAAAAACTAAAGCACCTAGTGGAGAAGTTGCAGATTGCAACCAACTGAATACAGCTGACTTCTAAGTGTGTAGGAGAAACTACGGTGGCCGCGAAGGGTAGGTTGAAGCATGCCGCTAGATGCTCCTACACACAATCCTACACACTGGTCCTTTAAACAGCTATGACAGATTTAGGGCTGCAATTTACAATTATTTTCATTATCAATTAATCTATAAAATGCTTGTTCTGACCGACCAAGAGTCCAAAAGTTCAAACTATTCAGTTTATAATTATATAAACTAAACAGCAGTAAATACTCACATTTGTGAAGCATGAACCACCAATTTATTGTTTCAAATTCATTTTCTGTTGTTAAACCAACTGATTATTAATTAATGATTATTTGTTTCTGTTCGATCAGTTCACTCAGCAACGTTCTGAAAAGTTAATTGTAGAATTTCTCCAAGTTGTATGATGAAAATAATAATAATTGAGTTATATGGTGTTCACATGATGACATTGATGATGGTAATGATGATGGTGATGATGATGATGATGGTATGTCTTGGCCTAAAAACAAAGAAAAGCTCCTGAACAAGAGTGGTTCTGTACCACATGGCTGCACGGTTTAATCGAATTTCCTGCAAATTAATTACAAATGTGGGTAATTAAAGGCCGAGTAGAAGCTATTAGTCACATTTGCCACCGGTTCGCATGTAGATGAGACGCACGCATGTGGCAGACGTGCTCTTACCAACATGTATGGACGTCCATCATGTGGTCGTCACATGAGAGAG